AGAGAGAGAGAGAGAGAGAGAGAGAGAGAGAGAGAGAGAGAGAGAGCGCCCCCCCCACATATCCTAATTGTCTAAAGCAGTGGTTCTCAACTGGGGAGCTGCGAACGCTGAGCCCTTTCAGGGCATTAACGGGACCCCGCAGCTTCAACCTAGTGCCCTGGCGCCTCCCATAGGGCTGAAGCAGAGATCCCTGGTGCCCCCCTGAGGGGCTGAAGCTGCCCCCCCAACCGCCAGCGAAGCCAGGAGCAGCGCGGGGCTGAAGCTGGACACCACCCGAAGCCAGGAGTGGCCCAGGGCTGGAGCGGGGAACCATGCGGGAAAAGAAATCAAACTATGCCTATGCCCAAGGCTCCCCGATCCTCCCCGCCAGCACAGAGCCCCGAGTCCCGCTGAGCCCTGGAGTTTTTACAGCATGTTGAGGAGGGCCTCAGTAAGAAAAAGGATGAGAACCCCTGGTCTAAAGGACTGTTGAAATGGACAATACTCGCTAGGAGAAATATGAAGGTGTGAGAAAATTACATAGTCGTCCCCGTTTCCCAAGGAGGAGACAGTTTTAAATGAACAGATACATGTAGAGAGAAAACAGAATTGCAGATTTAAAAATCTACACAACTCACCCAAGCACCTGTAGGGAACCACAATGTGAGGGTGACTCTTGCACTGCTTCCGTCCCCTCTTGCACCAGTTTTGGATTGTCACAGGCTGGTTGGCTTCCACAACATTGGTAATTTGCAATTCAGGATAAACCTAATGTTCAAAATACAAAGAGAACAAATATTATCAATCAAAGGCATTTTTACTGTGTTATTAAATAGTGTTGACACCGATATCACAGAGTGATGTTAAATATCACGCCTTCCCCCATCTGTTGTATATTATGTAACTATCATTCATCAGTTCTATTTCATACAATGAATTTATATTGTTATATGATTCACCCAAGTAGAAGCTATACTCCATTAAGAAAACAATAACCAATAATTATCAACTATGATTGTGAATGTGGTGACACCCAACTGTCTCTTTTAAAACCTTAAATGACTCCCCACCCCTGACTCCATGTCCACTTGAACTGAACATATCAATCCCTGTTTGGCTTAATTTTCTTCAGCTGAGTGTCACCAAAAGGGAAATCTTTCTGTTTAGTTACAGTGTTCCCTACTGCATGACCAGTCCATCAATCTCCTCTCAAGACTCTGAACTTCCCCTCTTTTCCCAAGTCTAATCATAGCCTCATCCTAAACTCAGAGCCCTCTTTTCCCCGAACTTTGTTGCATTTGGAAAGTCTATTTCTGAATGTCAGCTATCACTTTCCCAATACAGCCCTCATATCTGCCTCCACACTGACAGTTTGCTGAATCACTTATTCATTTGCATGCTTAGATTATTGCTGTTCCCTCCTTTCTGACTTTCTTAAATTGCTCATCTCAAAATCCAGTCTGTTCCAAACACTGCAGTATACTACTGCACCCACACATGGGCTGACAGTCATGCCATTCCAGCCCTAAAAGGAACTACTCAATTAGGGTCATTGCCATGATCCCAATCCATCCCCTTCTGCGATCTCATTTCTCCCTCAATCCTATACACACTCTCCCCCTTTTCCTCTCTCATTTCTGGCCCCGGCTGCTCTCCTTTGTCAGGTGTCAATTCTTCACTGCTTACCAGCTATATGGAACAGTCTACTCACCTCCCGATAATCTAGTTTCTCCATCCCTTCTTTTGAAAGGAAGCGAAAACTCATCTCTAATGCTGCCTACGATCAGTAATCCGTCAACCAGGTCCTCACATGGAATTTACTGTGGTACTAACTTCCCTTTACTTCTCATCTCATCAACTATTCCAACCTATCCTCAACTCATTGTAACTGCTGTGCATTAAGATACTTGAAAGAGCATACAGTTCTGGAGTCTTAACATTCTGCCTTCCATAAAGGGAGGTTTTTGTTTTGTTTTTTCTGTAGTTAGGAACTCAGTGTGTTGAATGGAATACAACTTGCAGAGTAGGAAACCCTTTGTATGATGGGTGGAGTTTTAAAGACACCTGATTGATTCTAAGTTTAATTATCATTTGTATTACTTGCATTCTGGTAGCACAGAGAGACCCAATCAGGAGCAAGGCCCCATCTTGGTCAGCACTGTACAAACTAAGTAAGAGATGATCCCTACCCAAACAGCTTACAATCTAATTAAGATAAAATGAAACACGTGGGTGTAGCAAAGTCAGAACTGAATCTTTAATTAAAGTTGAAATTTAAAAGCACAACATTTAAATGGCAATGATAAGTAGCAATACATTTTTGTGCTCTTTTAGGCTGCTCTGCGATTAACACTACTTGAATTCAAGCAATGTGGGGGTAGCACATGTATAGTGGAAGGGACGCGTAGGATGCAGTATAAACATCAAACATAGGATTATGGGAATGGGCAGTTCTCTTCTAATGGTCAATTGAAGGCGATTGTAATTGAAATACTGTACAGCCACATCCTGGACTGTATGTTTAAAACACATTATAAATTACATCTAAATTTGTTACATGTAAACCCAGGACAATTACTTTCTCTTGCAATAGAAAATGATCAATTTCGGAAGGAGATATTTATTCAAGTCTGAAAGATTAGCATGTTATGCGGAACATTCATATCTGACAGGGTGAATAAGATCCTATATATCACATGGCATACGGCATTGCATTAATTACTACTATAAAAAGGGAAGAGAAAAAAAATCCATGACTGCATATTATCTCCATGACGGAATCACGGTACTTCCAATATTATATGGAACAGTTTCTCTTTTACATTGGATCAGATGTATTTCTTTTAATAGTAAAAGGGACAGGATTTGGGATTTTTGACTCCAATTTCTAGGACCATTATTTATATGAAGAAGAAATGCGAAGAATATGGGTCTATATGGATAATGTTGCTGTGGAGTTTACTACCAATATTTCTGTATTTGTGAGACCTTGGCTTTGTTCCACTTACTTGTATCTGTTCTGTAGCAGACAGATTTAAGTGTTTACTATTTACACTGTAAATGCACTAAAATTTCCATATTCAGTTATTAAACATCTGCATAAAGTGAATGCAACAGAATCTGCTGCTCTATCTCCTTAAGTGTGCAAGTACTGAATTTTAATTAAGTTGACAATATTATGAATGAAATAAAAAACTTCTTTTCACCCCCTGAAACCTGGTGTGTCTTCCCTTCAGTCCTCCTCACTTCCTTTCCCCGATAGGTGAGTGCACAATCATGCTTATGTTCCTGTTCTGTCACAGCAGTACCAAAATGCATTAATTGGGATTCCATGAAGCTGGTAAGTTTCAAGCTGCCACTGTTGTGTAAACACTAGTACTCAAAAGCACACAGGCTGTTTCGGGAGCTATGGGAGAGGTACAACAGAAGAATTTGGTTTGCTGTGTTGACTAAAGGCAATATTTGAGCGGACAAAAGTTTACCACTCCAAATATAGACAGCTTAAACTGAATTTCAGATGGCATCATTAACAATACCTTGGTCATAAGACTGAGACATGATGCAATGTCACTGAAATGTTCTCACTGCAGAATTTTTCTGATATAGTTCACTGAATAAGTCAAACCCATAATGGAAAAGTGGCTACTGTACATACGTACATTAAAAAAACCAAACACTAACATCTACAAAATGTCAAGTTTTAAAGTGTTTTTGTTGGAAGAGAAAGAAATAAAGAGAAAGAGAGAAAGATCCTGAAATCACTGACAAAAGTGTATGTAGACTTCAGGACTCCAATTCAGGAAATCTTTCCTATCCAGGACAACATGTAAGCACATGGTTAAAGTTAACCACATACTAAGGTGCCTTCCTGATGATTAAAATTAACTATTGATGTGAGGCCTGGTTAAAACAGTAGTAGCAAGACACAGATTAAGATAAAATAGGATAATTTATCCATGTTTTATCTGAAAATTTCCTTTCTTGAAATAAATTAGGTCCACAGATCCAGGACACTGGGTACTCTACTCTATGCAGCCATGGAGGCAAACCAAACCTGTCAATCAGAAGCAGTCAAGGTGCAGCTCCAACCATGACTTGAGACACTTCCTGGGAAACACTAAGCACTCTATCAGTAAGGAAACTTAAGTAATAAGATTAAATAGAACAATCCTCCTGCAGATCAAGGTATTCATCTAACAAAAAACTTTGAGTGCCAATTAAGAATTCAGTATCTTTTTCCAACTGACAGCCCATTCAGGTGGCTTGGATCTGTGGACCGCATTACTCCAAGAAAGGAAATTTGCAGGTGAGCCCCGGATAAATTTTCCTATTCTTATTCATAATGAGGTCCACAGATCCATGACATCAGGATTTTTATACCAGCATCCATTCAAGGCAAGAACTATTTAGAGTTATTTACAGACATGAAAGAGGATAACCTTTATTAATAGTTACTGGTGGCTTGTCTTCACTACCCGCCTGGATCGGCGGGTAGAAATCGATCTCTCAGGGATCAAATTATCACGTCTCGTCAGGACGCGACAATCAATCCCCGAATCGACGCACATACTCCACCAGCGCAGGTAGGAGTAAGAGCCGTTGACGGGGGAGCTGTGGCAGTCGATTTGCCGCTGTCCTCACAGTGGGGTAAGTCGGCTCGGATACGTCCAATTCAGCTACGCTATTCGCGTAGCTGAATTTGCATATCTTAAATCGATCCCCCCGCCCAGTGTAGACCTAGCCTGGGATACTATAGCAAGGAGCACCCATCTACTAAAGGCAGCACCAGACGCTTGATGTCCAGCTTGCAGAATTTGAAGGTGGTACGAACAGATGACCAGGTAGCTGCTTTACTGATTTTCTTTTGTGTATGATCTTTCTGCCCATGAAGCTGCTACAGTTCAAACGGAGTGAGCTCTGATTCTGGAAGACGGAGTTTCACTTTTTTTGACTTGTGCGCTTCTGAGATGAAAATAATTTGGACACCTGGAAGCGGAGGATTTTGAAGCCTTCTTTCCCTTTGACACTGGATAATAAAGCACAAAGCATGTGTCTTTCTGACCTGAGCTGTGTGGTAAATATATACTTGGAGAGCTCTGCAGACATCCAAAGTATGCCACAATTTCTCTTTGCAGCAAAATGGAGCTGGACAGGAGGATGGAAGAACAACCTCCTGTGCTTTATGGAGCCTGCAGTTAATCTTTTAGTATGAAGACTGATCAGTTCTGACTACCGCTTTGGCCTTATGAAACATGCAATAATGCAGTTCCAGGAAAAGAGCTCACAACTCAGACACCCGGAGAACAGACAAGATTGCTATAAAAAACAACACTTTAATGATTAGAAAGTAATGAGGCACCTTCGCGAGTAGTTCAAACCGAGGGCCTGTAATGGCAATTAGAACTAGGTAAGATCACATAAAATAACTTGATGCATTACAGCAGGATGTAGAAGAGATGCTGCTCTCCTTAAAAAAGAAAAAAGGGTCAGGCATAGCGCCTGAGTCTATCTTAAAGAAATTTGAGACACAGTGGTACTAAAGCAGATGTGGGGGTTGAGCCCCAGGCCCCTGAATACACTGAGTTAGTAGATTTATTTCTGGTAACTAAAATCGTGGATATTACCTCTTTGAATAAACTTGGCTTAAGAGGCTCTATTCAAGAACCAGGCAGCTAGGCTTAGATTGTCTGGATTCTGATGCATAATTGGCCCTTATATCATCATATCCCTTCTGGACAGACGGCTGACGGGAGGTCTTGGGACCATGC